TCACAGATTTGGTTATGGTGGAAGAAGAATTTTAGTGGAAAGCAACTTGGGGAAGGCTAGAGATCAAGGTTCAAATGGTTGGAATGGAATCTCTTGATCTCAACACATGAGTAGGTGGTTCTCTCTCAGAAAATGAATGGTGAAAGTGTAGGCACGTTCTGATGGCTCTCCTAAATGAGGGAGAAGGGGTGGAGGGGTATATATAGCCTCCACACAAGATCTAACCGTTACACATTTTTGACTCATCTCGGTGGCACCGATTACGAACTCGGTGGCACCGATCTGTTAAAAAATATGAATGTTAGGAATCTCGGTGAGACCGACTGGAACAACTCGGTGGGACCGATGTGCTAAGGCTTAGGGAAAACTTCATCTCGATGGTACCGATTGCATTAACTCGGTGAGACCAAAGTGAGTGCAACGAGCAACAGAGAATCTGTCAAGCCAACTCGGTGGGACCGATTGCAACAACTCGGTGAGACCGAAGTGAATGCGACAAGTCACAGAGTGTTAGCAAGGCCATCTCGGTGGGACCAAGATCCGTATCGGTGTGACCGAACTGTTAGGGTTTCTGGAAGTGGCTATGTCATGATGAACTCGGTGTCTCTGGATGAAAGATAACGGTGGGGCCGAGTTGGAGTTTAGGGTTTTGGACATATTTGGATGAAGAGAGTGGCTGATGGTTTTGGAGCAATACCACTATGCACTTTGAGCAAGTAGACCATTATGCAACACCTCATCCCGTTTTAATAGTATTGGCTTCCCTATGGACTCAGTGTTATATTAGATCACTTAAACAAAAATGAAGAGTCTTGAGCTTTTGGCAATCATTGTCCTTAGCATTTTGAAGGAATTCCACACCCTCTTGTCCTTGCCACTCCACTATTGAACTTATCTGAAACATACTAGATAAAACTATTAGTCCAACAAAAGATGTGTTGACATTAATTACCAAAATCACCCATGGAGCACTTGTGCTTTCACCCATGTTCTACTTCTCCTCGATGATGGCGGCGGGTGCAGACGTGCTGGCCATCATTTCGTCCATCTCTGCGAAGCCGACTTCTTTCTCCGCCGGCAGGGCGTGGTTATGCGTATATTGACGACGAATGGAGCGGTTGCAGACACGGGAGGAGCGGTACGACACGATGTTGTCCATGACAACCACAATGCCTGTGCCGCCATGCTCCCCCACGTGTCGGCCTGGAGCAACCTGCCACTCGTCGACGAGCTGGCTTGGAGTGGCGAATTGTTGAACGATGGAGCGGCTTGGACCTTCTGCATCCACAAGCTGGCCTGCAGCAGCCTGGAGCGTCGAGGGTGATGGAGCAGAGAGTTCCTTGCCTTGTATCCTGCGGTCTCGACGGGCCATCCAACCGGATTTTATGCCGGAGAACTCCTCTCCCTGCTTGTCGGATGCCATGGATATTGTGGAGAAAATGGTGCAAGAAGGATATGGGAGTGGAGTGTGGTGCGATTTTTGCCCGGCGTCTGACGCTGTTTAAATAGTGGGCCGACGACCGGAGCCAACCGGCGTTGTGTTCCATGACGGGTGGCTCACGAACGGACGTGTGGTCGGAGTAGATTTCTCGGCACACACACGGGTTTAATGGAGGAAGGCGGGCAGTCTATGGCCGTTTGAATGTGGCGAGGAGACGTGTTTAGTCGGGCGTGCAGCGGGCGACACTGTCTCGGCCAGCGCACCGCTTCAATGCCGACAATAAGAGCTCGCGGCCGTTTTGCACCGGCGTCAATGAGGAGCGGCCGCTCTCCAGCGGCATGAATGAGGACAGTTGGCGCCGGGCCGGAACGCGCGCGGGCGTGGTTTTTTTTATGGGCCTGGGTAGTCAGGAACGTGCGTGCAGTGGTCCGGGCGCCGGCAAAACTCCTCACTTTGTCTCCGGTATGAAAAAAAAATATCCGAATAGCGCGGTCCGGTTATAAGTAGATGGTTTAAGGGTCGATGTTGGAAATGCCTTTACATCCAAACCCATCTGCAATCATGTGCAAAACCTGAGCTGATTACTGATTGATCCCATATGGCAAAGTATAGGGGCTGATTGATCTGATACGGCAAAGTTTAGGGGCTGGTTTATCCTCTTTTAGAGTTCATCAGGGGTAATTTTTTGAGGAGGAAAAGTAATACTACTATACTACTGTACTTTTTTGCTTTTTTCTAGGGCTTCTTTTTTGCTTTTCTAGAAAATAGGAGTATTAACTGTGCATGTGACGTTCTAGCCCGTTTGGTTACCGACACCATAGCCCGGGCCCAAGCCCAAGCCGGAAACGATTATCGACCGCGAGTTGCCGTCTTCAACTTCAAACCTCGCAAGCCTCTCAGACTCGAAGCAAACCCCCATCTCAAACCCACAGCGCACGGCCGGGCCGAGAGGAACTTTCGAGAAGCTTCTGTAAGATTGGTTCGCTGCCTCGCGTCCGATCCATGGCGGCCGAGGGGGGCGGAGGAGGAGGCGGCGGCGGAGCCGGGGAGGGGTTCGAGGAGCGGGTGAAGCGCCTCTTCGGGTCGCGTCTCTTCGGCGACGTCCCGAGCTCCTCCTTCCCGGCAGCTTCCTGGTCCGTCGCCGCCGGAGATGTTGAGCGCCAGCGCTGGGCGCGCCCGTCGGAGGCGCGCGACGAGGAGGAGGAGCGCGCCGCGGCCGAGCGCGCCGACACGCCGTGCTCGTCCGCGTTCTACGATGCCAACGGGTGCCTCCGCGGCCGGAGGCGGCGGTCCAAGCAGGACTTTGAGGACGACCCCGAAGATGATGACGAGGATGAGGAGGATGTGAGGGGCGAGGACCATAGGAAGGAGGAGCAGGACGAGGAAGAGGAGGTTAGGGTTTCGATCGGCCTTGACCCGACTCTGGATCGGGAGGTGAGAGAAAAATAACTTTCGATTTTATTTGATTTGGCCATTTGCTATTCGATGCTGTATTGCTTGTGGAAATTAGGGCATTGATCAAGATAGTAAGGCCGATTTGGCTTCTTCATTTGCTACTCATACCCTACTGCTTGCTGAAGAAACGTTTCATCTGTAGAGTGTATTGATCTCCAGTCACCTAGCGGGATAGAAAAAGTGCTAAGTATGGGGGATTGGAGTATCGTTGTCATCAATTTGCTCACTTCATGTTGTTTGCTTGTTGTGATTTTCGCTTTTGATTTTTGTAATGGGGTCTTTCTCAAGGGAAATGCCGCAGGGGATGATAAGAGTCTATTCCACAGTTCCAATGGAACCTTAAGGACTGTTCATTTCTTTTGAAGGCCGTCTGCTTTTGCTAATTACTAGTACTAAGATAAATCATAAAGCAAACCAGACTGTTTGTAGACTTATATAAGATGACTTTAACATGAAAACGCTAAAATTATCTAAATCTGATACTAAATGCAGGTAAGGAGCTTTTGCTTTTGTATTTGGCATACCTATCTATTTGCACCTTGTTCTGATTGGGTGTGTTATCTTTCAGGAAGAGGAGGACAAATATGATAGAGCAGCATTTGGTAAAGAAGATGCTGCAGAACGTGTGTACATGAGTGAAATCATGGATGAGGGCATTAATATGAGCATCAATACTGTAGTGCCTGACCTCCTTGATGATACCATTGATGAGATCTGCGGTTTATCTAAGGATCCTCGGGCAGATCTTGATGCAGCATCTGCAAGGCTCAGAGAAGACAATGGTTCGGTTAAAATTGGCCTTCATTCTCCAACTCAAACCAAGGAGTGTCCAACTGCTGGAATGCAAGCAATGAGAGCTCAGGATATCAGCGTGAAACCTATACTGAAGAGGAAGGAGGAGCAAGCCGATTCAAAACCAAGGAAACGTGTGAGGTTTAATGCCGATGTTAAAGAACAACCAGTGGAGCTTCTTGAACATGATGAAGATTCTCCCATGGTTCCTCAGTCCATGGATGTGGTCACAACAAAGGGCAACTCCTCCACGCCATCTGGGGTTCCTGACTATGTTAGGAACCCTTCAAAGTACACATGTTACACTCTGGAGACACCAGAGAGTACTGACGAATCTAACGGGAGAGCTCTTGCAGACTTGCACAATCTGTTAGGCAGATCAGATCCCAACAAGATGCAGCCTGAGACACCTGCTGAGATTCCTAGTTCAGTCACATTCATCCCTAGGAAGAAGTCAGTTGATGCCATGGTGGTGGATGAGGGCCCCAGATTTAGTGGTGCAAACCCATCTCTCATTAGTGCAGCAGCAGCAGTAGCCTCTGACGGAACTGACCAATGTGAGATGGATGAAGATGACCCTAAAGCATCACCACCACCACCAGCACTGATGCAGACCAACTCTAAGATGAACTCCCGGCGTTACAGGTCAAGTAGAGCAGATGATGAGTAAAGCTGATATTCTGGAGCCCTTTGTCAATGCATGTTTAAGAAGATTTACAAGTTTAAAAGTTCTCGATGATGCTACATGTGTTTAGTGGATATTTTGTTGTACCTATGCCTCGGTTTTGTGATCCGAGCTGACCAGCTGTTGTTAATTACGGTTTTATTTATAGTTGTTAATTCACGTTTGAATTTCTTGTACTGGTAGCTGTGGTTGATGCAGTTGCACTCCTAGAATTCAGTAGATTACAGTGACGAGCAGTGTATGCTGAACCATCTTTTGCTTCCCTTTATTTTATAGTTTCGTGACAAACATAATGTTCTACTTTGCATTGAAGAATCAACTTGAAGAGGGACAGAACATCCCTGCAGTCCACAATTAAGCACCAAGATTCCTCCCCTGGATTCAGATTCACCAGAATACACAAGGTTGTGCCCTTTTGATGTACAACAAATGTTATCAAGCTTTTGCATCTCCCATGAGGAAAACAGGCCATCTCCTTCAGGTTTCTGACTAAATTTCAGAACCAGTCTACAAGAAAAACCGAATGCCGAGATACTCTACCAATCTGTACATTCTTATAATTTCATGCTATTTCCCTTCTTATTTGCAGTAATTATTTACTTTGCTCAAGACGTTTACAGCGGCAAACTACAGCTTGTCAGCAATTCTGTAGAGGGCATCAGCCACCTTGCCAAGCACACCTAGCAAGCTGCTCACTTGGTCCTTCCTCTGCTCCCTATCCAGTTGGCAGTTGATGTTCTGCGCCTCCAGCTGCGCCGCCACCATCCGGCTGCTCCGGTCTAGAATCTCAACAAGCTTGCCCTGCAGGTCAGCGGTTTCTCCTGGGGCATCATCGCTGCGCTGCCTCTTCTGCCCACCCTGCGGTAGTGGCGGCTCATCGGTAATTCTAATTTCTTCTTGTTGCTTGCCTTTGGATGTCCCTGCTGTTAAAAATTTGGATTGTTAGGTAGCGCTGTTGTTTGTCTTGCACTGCTTGCACATCATGCTTAAATTTAGGCGTTGTATTTGTTGATTTGGGAGAACTTCATCTTGCTGAAATAAGGTAAGTATAATAACTCTCGTTTCTTCTCAACTCTCATAAGCGAATCTAAAATTCTGGGCTCTGTGTTCTTATGCTTTTGATTTCTTTGTGAGTTGCATGTTACATCATCTGTTCACTAATGTAAGACGATTTGGCAGTTCAATCTGAACTGCCAAACGGCTTAAATTAGTGGGCAGAGGTAGTGATGATAAGAATAACTAAAAAATCGACATGTAAAAATGAGGTACCAGCTAGTTTATAAGCAAAGGAAGAGACTAGAGTCATGCTAGATTGTCAGTGAAGTGAATAGAGTGAATACCATGAATACTTTTGGTCATTTCAGAATCTGTGCAAGACTTCAACTGAAAATGAGGCTGGTCAATTTTCGCAATAAAATTCCAAGTGGATTGACCATAATATAGTTTATTAATCACTAGAAGTAGCTAGAAAAGGACCCTGGTCAACAGATTAACATCATGGGCAATGTTTCTGAATTAGCGCTGCCTGAAACGTTACAGTGTGGCAAACAATTATGAATTATAGCTGCCTGAAACTGACATGCTCCTGTGAACATCTCAAACCTGGTGGATTTGATGCCGAAGATACTTTCAGCACGATTTGGTTCATTTTCTTTTATAAATTCAGGTTCAAAACTATCGCTTCTTAAGCGCGCTTTGTGTACTTGTTAACTGCCAAAGTATTCACTATATTGTCTACTGAAAACAGGCTGAACATCTGTGTTTGCTGCCTGCGGTCAGTTTTTCTTACAAAAGAAGAAATGATATGTAATTTTGGTCTATTGAACTTTCTTCTTAATGAAACTGAGGCATCTTTGAGAAAAAAAAATAGCAATAGCATTCACCATCTAGCAGGGTTGAATGACACGGGTAGCCTTTAATATTCTTACTTGAGAAATTTCTGTGATGATTTTAGTATATTTTCGGATTTTAGAAAGTAGGACTGATACAAAACTTTAAATATTTAATGTTTATAAGATTTTTTTTTGTCGGATGAAACCAGTGGGAAATATATATTCTGTTATAAGTGGGAACAGGTCCAAAACGAGGACCGTAAGAAACTAGCGCAAAAGTATGGAAGGGAAAATCTAAAATGTTTGAATAGGAACCATGTAAAATTCAGTTCTTTTTTACCTTGCTCTGAGCTCCCTTGCGTAGGTGCCTCGGTCTTCTTCTCTGCGACCAACACCACAAGAAGCAAAACTATTTCAGCCAAGCAACCAACCAGACTATGACAGTATTAAAAGAGTCTAAGCAATCACACATGTAACTCCAGGAATCAGAAAGAATAGTTAATTCAGATGCCCTGCCCAGTATCATCGAATAACTAACAAGAAAAAAATAAGGAACCAAAATTTCCGTTTGAATGGATGTCAAACCCGTCGACAGAAACAAAACTGATTAATCGACACAACAGCAGAGCAGCTCCTACATTCAGCAGTATAAAGCTGGCATAGTTGTCACCCCAAATTGAAGAATCATTAAGCATCCTGGAAAGGATAATAGCAGCAAGTGTTGTGCAGGTCAAATTATCACGCGGCAAAACCTTTTTTTTTGTTCAACATGCCCCTAAATGCGTATCTTTTGTGTATCAGAAGAACACATCAAGAACCAAATCAAATTCTTCGATGCAGAAAAGGTCACACCTCCAAGACCAAATTTGCACAAGAAAAAAAGGGCGAAATTTTGTACTGTAGTACCGATGAAGCTCACGCTTTTACCGCCAAGAATCAGCAACAAACCAGCGGCTCAACTGCACCATCAATTCAAAAAGCACACATTCTTCGCATGCAAGAAGGGAGCGGCGCGCTCACCGGGTACAGGCACGGGCACGGCGACGGCCACCACCGTGGGCACCTGAGATGGAGGCGGATATGGAGCCGCCGGCAGAACCGGCACCGGCGCAGGCGCAGGCGCAGGCGCTGGCGTGGACGTTTCCTCGTCCTCTTCCTCGGACGACGATGAGGACGAAAACAGCCCGTCGTCCCCGGCCGCGGACGCGCGGCCACTGTCGAACACCAGCTTCTCCTTGCCCTCCTCCTCCCCAGTCTCCGCGAGCGCCACGGCCGCATTACTGCCACTGTCGCGGATGCCGCCGCCGCCGCTGCCACGGCCCTCGATTATGTCGTACACCTCGCGGTCGAAGAAGCCCGGGAGCCTCCTCTCCCGCCGCGCGTCGTTCCGCATGGCCCAGAAGGATACCTCCTTCCCCGCCAAGGACGGCAGCGAGCGCTCCCACTCCCTGATCTTCTTGTAGTCGCCGGCGAGGTTGCTCCACCGCTTCCGGCACTGCACGGGGCCCCGCTCCACGCCGTGCCGCCGGCAGTACTCCGCCACAGCCGCCCACTTGGTCGGCTCCGCGGCCGCTCCGCCCGCTGCTCCCCTGCCCCTGCCGCGCCCGCGTACCTCCACCACCCGCTTCCCCTCGATGAGGACCAGTATCTCCTGCCGCGTCCACCGCGGCAGCCGCGCCGCGCGCCCAGGCCCTGCGATCCCGCCGCCGGGATCACCGGCGCTAGACATGCCGCCGCACGCACGGCGACCTCGTCCCCTCTCGGAGCGGGCCGGTGCAACGGCGAACTAACAAGTGTGGAGGGAAGGGAGGTGTGGCAAGCAAACCAACGGAGGGAGGAGAAGGGTGTGTGTCTTAACCCTTAAGCCGCGGATTAGGAGAGAGTGGTCTTAATTAGGTGTAAACTAATGGCGATTAAGTGGGGGATTACGGGGAGGATTCTCCAGGGAGGGAGGAAAAAGGAAGAGTGGTTGGAATGATTAGAGGAGGATTAATGGAGGGCAATTCCATCATGGAGCAGTGCGGGTGGGAATAGGGGGGCGGGCACCTATTGTTCCCGTTCCGGTTTTCAGCAATACTAGTACTAGTAGAGGGTAGGGTAGGGTGGGATAGACTAGTACTGTTGTGATATTCATTCCTGTGCCTTTTTCGTTTTCTGCTCTGGCCGGAAATTCGGATCCTCTGCTTTTTTTTATGTGATGAAAATACTTGTAAGGGCCGCTGCGATACGCTCATGGGAGTACCACACAATTGTTTCACTGTAGCTTAATAAATCGATCGTATTGGTGCATCTTCGGCAGTCTAAAATTTTCTATCTTACTCGTGTCGCCTAAGGCCTCACGTTATCCGCGTACAACTTGAGAAAAATAGCCTCTTCGAACCATTTCTAGTCCCTATCAATCTATCATCATCTTTCTCAAAAATAATAATAATAAATCTATCATCTGTTGTTATCAGTACATCTTCACTATCCCCCAGTCCTACCTAGTCCTACCACCGGGTTGCCGCTTGGCCTTTGGGTAAGAGGATATGTGGCCTTCTCTCTTTCGAGATTTTGGCCAATGACCCTACTAAGATCGAGACAGATAAATCGGCTCCATTGCGGGTGCATGCACTTCCAGGTTTGCTAAAGCAGGATTTTTTTTTTCAAGAAAACTTCGATCTATTTATGATATGCCAGAACAAAAATTACAGCCATGTTCGTAGACCACCTAGAGACAAGTACAAGCATTCAAGCGAGCCGAAGATGCACCGCCGTCATCCCATTGCCCTCCACCCGCCACCACTGGAGTTGGGCCAAACTTGTTGTAGTGGACAGTTAGAAAGTCGTTGCGTTAAGGCCCCACAAGACCAACGCACTAGAACAATAACCGCCGCCAATGATGAGAAGCATAGATCGAAAGAATTCAATCTGTAGACATACGAACGAAGATGGACAAAGATTGGATTCAAACAAATCCATCAAAGACCAACACCGGCTGAATCCTGCGAGATCTACCGGTGACACATCTCCACACGTCCTCCGAGGATGTGCATCACTGGAATGGGAGCTAGGCAAGGAGAACTCAATTCCATCTTTACGAAGCCGCCATTGCCTCATCTTTTGTGAGCGTGACACAAACCCTAAACAAACTTATAAAAACACCTAAACGGAGCAAGATCCCTCCCTCGGACAAGAGCGGGGTCCATTGTGGTCCTAGGGCCAACGAAGACGAGGCGGACCGACGATGGTGCCGTTGGGAGGCAAAGAAACCCTAAACTTCTTTTCTTGGAGAAGAGGAGGTTATGATTGCGTTTGACAAGACGCTACACGGTATCATCCTTTCTTTCAATTAGCGAACCCTCAAAGCAAGATTGCTTTACCCTGCAAAGAAAAAGAAACACGATTTTTTTTGGACAAGCGAAAAAAAGCAAGATTACTTTACTAAGGATCACTTCAAAATTATCGATGCAAAAAAAACAAACAGAAAACAGCATGGGCTAGGTGCAACGGAAAAACGCAGATGTACCTATGTGCAAAGTGGCGTGTATCCTCTGTATCAGTCAAGTTGCGGTACCGGCCGCTTTTGAGCTGGAAGCTCATCCCTAGAAATACTTTTTGTTTTAGGTATACCTTTCTTGCACAACTGAAATTGTAGCAAAACTAGTTCTAGCTTGTTTGGGTAACTTCCCTGTGGATATGCTTAAATCTGCTGCTCACCTTGCTTTCCTAACGAAGGGAAAAAATTAGCCGCATAATTAAGCAATAATTCAGTTCAAACAAAATTAAGCAATGATTCAAGGTGAAGGCGAGGTCTTTCTTTCTATTTTAGTGGAGCAGATTACGCACCAGTCGCGTAAAGAGATATCAGATAGATATACATAGTATTATTGGTTGTTTTGCGTTGGTACAACTCATTTTTTTTTATAATTATTGCGAGCAGTTCCACTAGTTTTCTGATTAAAATTCGGAGGGAGGTCTATAATGGAGGAGTTCTAAATTTTAATTGATTGGTGGACAAGCTATACCCTATGTTTTGTGGGTTTGCTCCATGTAGACCTACTAATATAATCATGGCTCCACTGATTAAGAAAGGTGCTTAGAGCTAGCTTAGTGCCATGTCTTATATAGTCCCTACTGCCTTCCACCACCCATACATCTCTAATCAGTAATCACATTGCCTTTTTTTTTTCTTCCTCTTCTTCTTGTATAGATGTTCCTTTCAGACGATTGGCTCTTCTAGACCTGTTGCTTCGATCTTGTCCAATCAAGTCGCCGGCCAGCCAGGTCCCGTTCAATTTATTTTTTCTGTAGGTAGGATTGTGTGAAGGACGTTCTCTCACTCAAGCGAGGATTTAATAGGAGGCTGGTGGGGTGAGGCAAGGGACGTCCATCTCCAACTTTAGGAGGCGTTGAGAAAGAAATGCATATGCTTCCCCACTCCCCCAACAGATGTATCCCCTCTCTACGTATGAAGCTACGCGACTTTTTGTCTCTGACTTGTCTTCAATTTTTCGTAGCACGGTGATTTTTTATATTTGTTAACGTTGTCAGAATTCTGAATTTTTTTAGGACTATTTGCATCATTCTCAAGTGTTGAGAGGAAGGGTTCACAGCTTGTATATATACTCACTCACTCAACTGCTCATCAAGGATACAAGTCAATTGTGCTATAGTTCGGTACTGAATATATTGAAAACAAATCCCAACCAATCAAACACCTTTGGTTCGGTTCAACAATAATATTCTTCGAGAAACGGGCAGAAGCATAGCCTTTTTATATAGACGAAAAAGAGAGAAATAATATGTATAAGGGTTGCACGTTTCTGGGAGGAACGTGGCTGAACCACCGAAAACCAACAAAACGAAAATGACTCAATCGACACCCATGGTAGGCATGGTGCCGCCAAACGCCATTTTTTTCAAAAGTACGTCAATGACGTATCATATTTTTTTATAGAAGGAAGCAACACATACTTACAAGGAAGCTCGTAAGAGATGCGGACATTTGTACGAGCTACATCCACATACACACATATCTCCAACTCCTCTAGACCTATCCCACCCTCTCACAAAATGTTGTTGTGGGCATCCTGGGAACCAGGGTACCCAGACTTGCCTACCTGTGGCCCGCGGCGTGGCTTCATCGACGCCCTGGTACGACCCACCTACAAGACTATCAAGACAAGACCCTCGCGAGGCGGACAATGCCAAGACCTCCTGAGGGAGCGTCCTTCCCAGGCGGCCTCCTGGGGAGCGGAGATTTCTATACAGGTGCCCAACCTCATGAGGTTGCGATGACGCAAGCCATGACGACCAAGGCAGGCGGGCGCCATCGGGTGCAGAGAAGGCAGTTTTCTCTTTGGTGCTAAGGAGGCAAGGATAGGCGTGGGTTCTCGAGGAATCTGGCAAAGGTTTTCGTTCCAGTGCAACAAGACCAAGACCATCAGGACGTCATGATGGATGTCATCACCGAGCCCACCTCTGCGTCATGGCCAGAAGCTTTGCAGGCGAAGACCACCTTTCGTCAGGATAAGATGTACTACTTTTCCCCTTTCAAATTGGCCACTGTGGGATCCCTTCCCGCCTACGTTTTGGGGGAAGAGGACCGAGGCCACTATAAGTATAGGTTAGCCACCACCATAGAGGGGACACTTTCCACCCTCACCAGAACAACCCTCGCGAGGTTGTTCATCCCTTGTATCTGTTCATCCACAGCCCCTCGTGAGGCCAATCCACCACAAAGCAGGAGTAGGGTCTTACACCGCAAGGTGGCCCGAACCTGGGTAAAGTGTCGTGTTCTTCTTCTTCCTTGTTCGTGTGAATCGAGCTAGGCCCTAGGGCGACGGCTGGTTGGCTGGATAGGTTGAGTTCTTCGCACACGCCCCAGAGTTCGAACCTTGCTTGGGTCTGCGGAGCCCTGAATCCCACATTTGGCGCGCCAGGTAGGGGCGTGTCGAAGCTTCCCTTCCATCGTTCGCTCCGCTGCCGTTCCGTCCCTTCTATGACCGACACTCGCCGTGTTCGTGCCGAGCGCCGAGCCGCTCACGTCGCTCAGACGGCACCCGTGGGCAACTGCGCTCCTCGCCGCTCTGCCTCCCCGGTGGCTAACGTCGCCACTGACCCTGCTGCTCGCCAACAACAGGATTCATCGTTGCCACCGTCCGTGCGGCGCGACGGACGTACCGCATGCAACTCCATCACCCACTCCAGCCATGGCGTCGTCTGCTCATGCTCGTCGCGGGCCGGCAAATGCGTAGGCTGTACTGCTCATGGCACGTGAGCTTCTGCGTTAGCGTCTGCCCAACGACCTCTACGACGACTAGCTCGGCTGCATCGCCGAGCTCGTCAACGCCGCCGGTGAGGCCCCTGCACAGTCCTGTTCGCCTCGTCCTCCGCCGTCCCTGGCGGGCGACGTGGCTCACGATGCACCTCCTCCTCCTCCTCCTCCTCTGCACGGCGCGGACCCCGAGCCTAGGCGTGAGGCACCCCAACGTGACCTGCTGTGCAGGGCACCGACGCGTGATGAAGAAAGCTGCTAGGTGGTGCAGCAGCCGCAGGCCGATGCGCGCGCGCTTCCAGCGCCGCCGCGTCAAGACCACGTGCCACCAGAGGCGGTAGCACGCGGGAGCAAAGACCAAGCTCCTCCCATGCGACCGACCCCTGTGAATGTGGCAGGCTGTCGTGCTTTCAACCCAGAGCCGCGCCGCGTCGTTTGGCCCAGCAAGTTCAAGGCGGATCTGCCTCCAT